CCCGATTTCAAAGACTGCACACAAAGAAAACAATGTAAATTATCTCACTTATAAGGCTTTACATTGATTACATGGAGAAATAAAAATATTTTAGATCTCTTGGGTAAAATAAAAATATAAAAATTTATTTTTTAACATAATTTTACAAAATTTACATAATTTTTAACATTTTTAATGTGGCTACATTGAAAATTATGTCCGTGGCTCCCATCTGTGGCCCACAGTAGATTTCAACAGAACAGCACTGCTCCTGACAATCAGTTCAAAGGGTATCTGCAGGGAAACACGCCACATGAGAGCAGACACACAGGATGTTCTGCACCCACGCTCTCCTCCTCCCACAGGGACATGCACAGTTCCGAGGGGCAGGGCCATAGCTATGCACGACGCCTCTAGTATAAGGGGTAACAGTGAATCAACTCCAACGGACAGAAGTCTTTGAAACGAAGGTGATTATAAACTTCGGTACTGTTACCACAGTTAGCAAAGTGCCATTCAGGGTCCAGCCACCGATGACTGTAGTGGCTCAGGGCACGGGGCGGAGTCATTCTGCAGGCAGAAAAGAGAGGGTACACAAGGACACAGCTAGAAGATGCCCTTCTACAAGCCAGGACTGAATTGGCCTGCCCTTTGATCTTGGACTTCCCAGCGTCCAGAAGTGTGAGAAATAAATTTCTGTTGTGCACCCAGCCTGTGTGGTTCTGTTACGGTATCCAGAGCAGACTGATACACACAGTAAGCAAGAACAAGCACACTTCAACTTGCAGACGCTTTCCAGGGTAATGCTGGCTCCTAGCAAAGAATCAAGGACAAAAGTTTCACTCAAACTGCTCACTGAAACAGTCTCCCCTGAAACGGCTCACCTTCAAAGAGTCTACCCACACATAGACCCTGCTCCCACCGCTATCTGCTCACATCTGCCACACGGCAAAGGCATCCACGCAAGGTCTATCATGCTCTTCTTCCTCAGTGCGACGTGCTAGCAGATCAGTAGCCTTACAAAAACATCAGCACCCTTCTGGTGTTCCCTACCTACTGCCTGCTTAGCCACAGAGCTAAGGGCCACAGGGCTCTCCAACGGGACGGACTTACCCTCAAGTTCAAGCTCTGTCCTCCTTGGTGTTGTCCCTGAGCTCTAGTCTCCTCACACAGAAATAAGGGCCAGAGCCCATTTTACCATGTTATTTCAAATATGAAACAGGATGGCACATGTGGAAAGCAATTTGTAAACTATAAATTAACATACAAGTATTAACACCAATTATTTGTATCTGCCTATGGCACTTTGGATCTTCATTAACCACTGACCAGCAAAACTATCAAGAGGAAACTGCAATATTTCAATTTGGAATGTACTTGAAGCTTCTTCTCTTAAAAACATGAAAAATACAAAGGGGACAAAAAAGTAAGGTGGAGCCACTGGGCCCACTGACCAAGCCAGGATAACAAAGGCTTCACCCCGAGTTTCCAGTTCACGCTGGCACACACAATCCACTGAAAAGCATATGGAGCCAAACCTCCAGGTGGTAATGCAACTGGGTTTGTTTTTTGTTTTGCTTTTTGTTTTGTTTATGTTTAGCTGCAGGACTAGAAATGATTAATTTGAGCAAGAATTTACCAACCAGAGAGGCCACCAGACCAAATTCACCCATTGTCTGGACATCCTGGGGCCAAAACCTTCCACAATGTCACAGGTTCTGAGCAGATGTACAAAGATCCCAGAGATCTTTTATTACTCACGTATCAGTGGGAACCTAGAGCCCTAATAACTCGACAGACTCAGAACTCAATATTCATGTGTTTAGTCAGTATTTATTGGGAACCATGTGTATAAGGTATGAACACAAGAAACCACAGGGCAGATTGTAATGTGTGTGCGTGTGTTGGGGGCTGTGGGGGGGTTTAATAACTTGCTAATGTTGATTACACCTTCAGAAATAGACATACTTTGGGATCTCTTCAAAGTAAAATGTAGGAAAAGAAAGAACAGTCTAATTTTTAAAACTGTGTTACTAAAGTGGCCTAAAGAAATAGGAAACTATTTTTACTTTAGCTGCATACTTTTGATAACTGGTTAAAGGCTGTCTTGACCTCCTTCTAAGTTGCCTGAACTCAAGCATTTAACAACATACATGATAGCATTTTTTTAGCGTAGGCCCTTTGAAAACATGCCATGAAGAGTTTCCATCACTCATCTGAAGAAAGAGAAACAATTTGGAAGCTCCATTTGCTATCCCTCTGGATGGGAAAACTAATTCCCTAAGCCTTTGGTGTGAGTCGTGGGGAGTTTCCAGTTCATTTGTGGAAAAAAAAGTTCAGCTTACTAGTTTTCCCAAACATTGTCCACTGCCCTCCCCTGCAGATCCAGCAAGCAATTTTCAGCTCCTCAGCTAGCCAGTCTCATTCTGAATGATGGAGAACCATGTCCCCAAGCTCCCCCCCCCCCAGCACACACTGCAAGTCAGTCTGGGCTGTTAGAAGCATGTGTATCCTAGAGAGCAACAGAGCCTCATTTACCCAGGGCAAATTAAGCTAATGTAAGTTATCAAGTAAAGGACTCCAGGTTATTCCAGGCAATCAGGGAGTCTTTAGGGTATTTCAAAAGGTTGAGTTTGTGCGCATGTAAGGAAGATTTCCCGTGTATTTAATATGAATGATAATGCCTTTCTCAAATACTATGTACATAAGATCTGCTGTTGGTTGGAAAACCTCAATAATCCCCAATGCAAATGACAGGGCAGGGTCACAGATTTCAAGGAACAAGAGAATTTAAGCATACAGCATGTAATAAAGCAAAACTCAAAGCCTGGGAACTGAGCACAGCTATTAGAAATGCGCCTTACACAAGCCCCACCCATTTAAAAGGGGTCAGTTTAGGGGCACCTGGCTGGCTCATATGGCACAGCATATGGGACTTCTGATCTCAGGGTTGTGAGTTCCAGCCCCACATTGGGTGTAAAGATTACTTACAAAGAGAACATACATACATACATAAATAAAGGGCCCGTTTCTCCACAAGTGGGCAGAGGTGGGTGATGGAGCGGTCAGTTCTACGGGTGGTGATGTGCCACCCAATTTCATCCTAAGTTCCATGATCAATACCGTGGTGTGTTTAGGTAGCAGCTGAGAAGCTCTGAGCCCAGGTGAGGCCTACCGGACAGCAAACAGAGTCAAGCACCTCCACAAGCTCCGCACTGCTTAAACTTCTCAATTTCAGCCTCCAAGTCACTACAGCCAGAAGACCACAAACATCCGGCCTTTTTCTCCCATCAAAAGTACATCTAGCCAACCTCAGTGGAAAAAATAATTAAGGTAGGATGTTCCCTTGTTGGTCACTGCTCCACCAGCACGGTTAACACCCCTTTCTTGGGAAATCCCTGTTCCAAACACCCAAACACCTACACCAGCAGCCCCATCTCCCAGTTAAGCCTGTTTCCTCTCCATGCATCCACTAACTACCACCATTCTCTTTGTATACATATAAACGCCGCACATGCTTAATCCTGTTAATTTACCCGTCTATCTAAGAACACCTGGTAAGTGCATTAAGAGAGTGTTGGGAAGCGAAGTTTCGATCTGTTTTGATAAGTTAAAGTAGCCCTGGTTAATTTCAGTTTCATTCATTTTTAAGACTTGAAAAGCACTGCTGCTAACAGTATCAAACGAAATGGCATGAAACACACCCGAATTACTCTCATTCCTACCCAAATCCCTTCCCAGAAGCCAGGAGAAGCCAGGGCTGGGCCTGAACCCGGAAGGGCCTCTCCTACCTGGTCCTGGGCTAAGCCAATGCCCACTGGCCTCTGTGGTTCAGTTTCTGTTTGGGTCAACGGAAGGAGGGGGCCTGCAAGATTTTTAGGTTGCTGGGGCCCAGCACTGGGGCCTCCTCATCCCATTATGCAGACACAAACTTGGCAGATTCAACCTTAAACCTGTTGGCAAAATAAACAAAACCAAATAAAGGGGAAACCGCCAACCGGAATTGTCTGAAGTGACGGAGGCCCACTATACTCGTTTCTGCTTTGTCCCTGAAGCTGTTACAATGCTAAAGTCAGGTGCCTGAGGTTCATCAGTCAATGACCCCCCATCCCCCCACCCAAACCCCCCACCCCCCCACGCCCCGCATCCCGCGCAGACCTTCCAGGGCGATCCTTACTGTCTACAAATTAAAGCGCTTGGCAAATTAGATACCTCCACACAATGCCACGCTAACTGCGCTCACAAGGGAGTTACCTTCAGTGCCTTAAAAATCATACACCGAATTCTTCCAGAACCACTTGGTGGTTAAATCGCCCTGAATAAACCAAGAGGGCAGAGCGATGTGAGAAACTTTCTTTCAGGTGGCTGTAAGAGAGTCATGTAAATCTGGGACAGGACGCAGAGCCTGGAACCCATCACAAAGCGCCCCTCGCCCAGGCGAGGACCTCCTTTATGCGATGTGACAGCAGCTTTGTGCGGGATCATAAATAGTTGCCATAAACACAGTTAAGTTCTCCCGGCCGAGCTCGGCCTCCCGCGTACCCGCGCTGCGGCCGGGCGAACCGGGGCTATTCTTCCCGGAGACTCTCGCCACGGCGATCCTGGCCACCGCACGGTCCCACGCCCGCCCCCGGGTCCGTGCCCGCCGCGGCCAGCCTGCAGGCCGGGCGCCCCCAGTCCCCCCCGCCCCCCGCGCCCGGGGGTCTCTGGTCCCGGGAACGCGCCGCTCAGGCCCCCCTGAGCCCGCCCACCCGCCCGCCGCCGTCGCCGGCGCCCCCGCCCCCCCCCCCCGCGCCGGCCCGGAGGGAGGGTGGAGGGAGCCCGGAAGGCGGGCGGGAAGGTGCGGAGCCGGGAGGTGCCGGGCAGTCGCGGCCGCGGGGGGCCAGGCCGCGGCTGGGCCGAGGGCACCAGCAGGGCGCCGAAGGCACCGGCCCCCCCGGCCCCTACCCGGGCGCGCGCGCCAACTCCACCGCGCGGCCCAAGTTCGCGGCCCCCGCCCCGAACCCGCGCGCAGCGCTTACCTCGCCGTGGGCCGCCCGCCGACGCCGGAGGGCAGCGGCGCGGGTCCCGGGGCGGCGGCCGCTCAGCGCCCGCCCAGGCGCCGCTCTTTGTCTGCGCCGCTCCCTCCTCCCGTCGCTCGGCGGACGCTGCCGGCCCGGGCGGACCCCGCCGGCCCGGCAGCCGCGAGCCTCCCGCCGCCGAGCCCTCCCCGCCGCCTGCCGCCCGCTCGGCCGCGCGGCTCCGGCCTGACGATCCCCGCGGCGGCGGCGGCGGCGGCGGCGACCCTCCCCCGGCGCGCTGCGCCCGCCTCCTCCGCGCGCTTCCTCCTCCTCCTCCTCCCGCCGCTCCTCCCCGGCCGCGCCGCGACACCGCCCAGGGGCCGACCCGGGCCCGCGCTCCGGGCGGGGGCCCGACACCCACCTGGGGGCGCGCAGGCAGCGCCGGGGCCCGCAGCTCGGCCGGCCTCGGCCACGGCCCGGAGACCAGACGCACCGGAGCGGCGGGCGCGAGGGGGGCGCGCGGGGCTGGCGCCGACGGGGAAGAGAGGTCCCCGCTTCCCAATCTGCCCGCTCGGGGCGTGGGGCAGCGATGGGGGTGAGCCAACGAGAGAGGAAATAAAGGCAGCAACTTCCAGCCTCAAGTGATTGCTGGGTGGCCTTTTCATCCTCTTTTTGTTTGATTTTCTTATCACGACGCTCTAGTTGTTTGGCGACCGGCCCCCTCCCGGAAGCATTCCCACGGCACTCTCAGCAAAGCAGGCCTGTGGTCCATCAGGAAAGTGACTTACATAAAAATGTCACTTCCTTTCTGTAATTGCTTCTGGGCATTTCTATTTATTTGCCTTGTATCTATTTACTTTCACAGACACTTTTGTACTCCATCATTCCGGTCGGAAGCACTTCTTAAGAGGAAAAGAGGAAACCCAGCCCCTGCCGCCTCCCATGCCTGCTGTCCAGCTCAAGCGCGCCCACCAGGCAGAATCCTGGAAGGAGCTGCCAGCATGTGGGCCCCCAAGGAGTTACCACTCCTCGTGGGACTGGTCCAGTCACGCGGCCACACGTAGGGCCTTACCTGTAAACAAATTTGGAAGATTAAAACCCAAGACGAAGGGGAAAGAAAAGTTTTCCTATAACAGGCACATGCATCCAGATGTCTGTTCTCCAGTCTCCTTCCCATATGGCTTCCCAAAAGGAAATACTACTATTCAGATTCTGATTTCCTGACGGAATAGCCTGGATCCATGTTAATGAGATTCTTTCTTAGGCTCCTGGTTTCTCATTATTATTAAAGCAATAATAATTTACCCAAGGCGACAAGGCTATATCATCTGAATCATTCATCCCCTGCCTTGTTCCCAAAAGGAAGTACCCAAGTAGGGTAACAAGAACCAGTATAACTTTGAAGTCACAGTATAGTGTTTGACCATCTGCTTTTTTGACTGTGGAACCTTGTACAGGGGTTTCTTAACCCATCTAAAATCTAACAAATGGAGAGATCATATTTACCTAGCTCCTCTGTCAGTCCCTGGCATCCTTCCTGACTATAGGGAGCACTCAGGTCACTAGTTGGAAGTAGGTACAGTGTACTGAGCAGCCATGAGTCCAAGATCGGAATCTGGATAGCCTCCTTCTCTTTGACCTTGGGAGAAAAGATACCTCAGTCATCCTTTTGTCTTACTAATAAGGAAAGCAGAATCATAATAAATGGTCTGGCCCAATTTTAAATTAGTTTACCCAAAATACATATAATAACATTGACCCAGTTTTTAACTTGTCTGCTTTGTAAACCACCACTGAATCATCGTTGTCGAACTCCTCTTCCTTTTTCCTTCCTTTACGAAGGTAAAGTCCCCAAGGACATTCTCTACCTAAAACCCAATGTCCCTTTCTTAATCTTTATCCTATGCAGTTTTCAGAAGCACCTGGCATTTCTGCTATTACCTGAAATTCAGTCATCTTCATTTATCTAACACAGCTACCTTTCTGACCTTTCCACATCTGTCCCTTATAGGGCATGTTGTCCTTCCAGCGTCTAACAGTAATATTCCCGAAGCAGAATTTGGCCCTTTGTTTTTATTTTGATAACGTGCCTTTTTTTTTAAGAGAGTTGATCATTTTTATTTGTTTATTTTATTTTATTTTATTTTATTTTGTATGCTTCCAGTCTGGATGTTCAGCGATTAACTCCCAGATCTGTAGCCTTAGAGAGTTCCCCAGCTGGTCTGCAGTCTCTCTGGGCAGCTCATCATCTCTTCAATATCACCAGGTCCAGAATGAAATTTATCTCCTTCCCAAAGTAGCTCCTCCTCCACCGTCTCAGGCTTGGCCAAGAATCCACCAGGCATCTCAGCCCCTGGGAGAAACTTCACTGCAATTCCATTTTTTCCTTCCCTCTTCCAAGCTCTCCCCAAGGGTAGTGAGGAGAGAGCACTAGATGACATTGGGATCCCTCTCAGTCTAAATCCTCCTGATTCTGAGTCCTGGTGATCTTGAAACAGTTCTTTGTATCTTCTTTTTCCTTTCCAGTGGTACCTTCCAAATTTTTACATTATTACTGATAATACTTATGAAACTTCTTTTAGTTCTTTTATATATATATGTATGTATGTATATATATATATAAAATCTGTAACTCACACATGATAGTATTATCCTCATTATACACATGAAAACAATAGAAACAGTAAGTGAAGGAACTGGGGTCAGAACGGAACATACTTGACTCCAAAATTCGTGTTTTTTCCAGTATACCCATTACCTTCCAACTAGCCTCCTGTCACTCACTTCCTCCCATCTCCCAAATTTATGCTGGATATCAGTGTCACTGTAGTTTTCCTAAAAATTGCATCTATCCGGCCTTACCCCTGATCAAGAAATAACCATGGCTCCCCATTGCCCACCACAGTTCCTCAAAAGTTCTCTGACAGCAGAAGACTTGAGCCTTTGCTCCTGAGAAAGCTGAGGAACTGAGCCCTAAGAGGCCTATATTCGTTTCCCTGGGGCAATCTTAATAAATTACCTCAAACTGTATGACTTAAAACACAGGATTTTATTCTCACAGACTTCTGGAGGCCAGAGTCTGAAATCAAGGTGTCAGCATACTCTCTCAGAAGGCTCTAGGGGAGAATCCTTCCCTGCCTCTTCCAGCTTCTGGGGGCTCCAGACATGCCCTGACTTGTGGAAACGTCACTCCAATCTCTTCCTCTGTCTTCCCATGGCCTGATCCCCTGTGTGTTCTGGCCCCTTCTCTCTTGCCATTGGATTTAGAGGCCTCCCCCGACCATTCCAGGATGATCGCATCTTGAGAATCCTTACTTATAACAGCTACAAAGATCTTTTTTCTAAATAAGATCACATTCACAGGTTCCACATGAACATATCTTTGGGGCCACCATTCAACATGGGGGAGACATTTCTTTCAAGCTGATGTTTTGTCTGAAAATGTATCTCTCTGCATCCCACTCCATTAGTATGCCCTGTTTGTTTTACTATTGAAATGTCTTCAGTAATGAAATACTGAAAGTGAAAAGGTATAAACCTGGGGCACCTGGGTGGCTCAGTTGGTTAAGCGTCCGACTCCTGATTTCGACTCAGCGTTGGGAGATCCAGCCCCGCCATGTTAAGATTCTCTCTCTCTCCCTTCCTCACTCTCTCGATAATGAAAAGAAAAAGAAAAGGTATAAGCCTTTCCCCCAAATCAATTCAACGTTAAATCCTAAGACTTATGTTTCGAAGTCCTCTCAAACTTAGTCCTACCACAGCAATCACATTGTTGACTCTGTCCCAATATAAGCTATTTACTCCAGTCACTCTGCTCCCCTCCCTGTGCCCCACATGGTCACACCTCAGTAGTGCAGACACAGGAGGGAATTCCTCATCCCCCTCCTCTTCCTTCAGAGTTCCATTCAGAGCCCCCTCATTGGACTCATGGGAAACCCAAGGTAAGGTTGGGGGTGTTGGGTCAGGCTTCAGAGGCCTGCAGCCTGCCTACAAGCCCATGACTTGAGATCATTTAACCTCTCTGGATCTCAAATAGAAGTAACACTGCTCTTACAAAAAGCTGTGAGTATAAGTGAGATAATGTAAACATGTCTCAACTGTGTGTTTGGCACACGGTAAACACTCATACCAGCTTTTCTATGACCTTTTATTTCAACGTCCAATTTAATTAAACATACCTGGTCTATTTCTATTTGTAAGGCATTATGAGAGAGAACTTGGGAGAAATAAGTATAAGGTGAGATTTTAATCTCAGAGGAAGGATAGCACCAGGACACAAATAACTCTAATATAAAACTAAATATGAAAAGCACCAGGTGAAATATGTTCGGGGAGTCAAAGGAGTCTTTAGATTTTATGAAAGGTGGTGGCATTGGGAGTGGACCTTGAGAGACTTTGGTGGCCCTCCAGCCAGCCCCCTTCCTGGTTGTAGGGCGGCCCCCAGCTGACCTTGGGGGAAGCAGAGTGGGCTTTTCCCTCTCCTCCGCCGCAAAAGCCTTGTAAGAATGAATGGTCGGGGGTTGACCGGTAGAAACTTCTCACTCAGGACTTTGAAACTGGAAAGTGTGGTAGAGAAGAGGAAGAGGAGATTCAGTTTGCTTCCTTACAGAGATGTTAACCTGCTTGGTTCTTGCCCCTTCTCCCAGCTCCTGCAGCCCCACTGCAAATTACTTGATATCCTTCCCATAAATCCCTGTTCTGCTTAAGGTGGCCCTTACCCTTCCTATTACCCAAACCCCTGAATGATACAAACTATAGGATTTTGAAAGTTAGAGACAGGGAGGAAATTCCCAGTGGAGGGAACTTAGAACCCTGAGCACAGGGGGAATGTGGGAGGATTCCACGGAACAGGGAATCCTGTTGCCCCCAGTTGCCTCAATGGAGCAGAGGATGCCAGCCAAGGATCCAGAGGAGATAAGACCAAGGAGATATGGTAGTTAAGTGTGGGCATCACCCAGGCTTGGTGGCAGGATAATTCATTAGGTGTGCATACCAAGGAACACCTGGAGGTAGGAAGAGCAGTAATACATTTGCATTACTCAGAGAAGTAATAATCCAAACTCAGGTGGAGTCTATGGATGCGCAGTGGTGTAGGAGAAATTAAGGGGAAAGGCTCACAAGGAATTGACAAGTGATCGGATGTGGGGAGGCAAAGGAGAAGGGGCATCAAATACAACCTGAGGGTTCGGATGTGGATGCTTGCGAA